GTTTTGTCGCCCTTTTTGTTGTCCTTTGGGGAATAATTGCTGATATTTGACAATGGCCCGATAAATGCAAAAACCAAATACAAGGAAAGAGTTGCAACAATTTTTTAATTTTTATTCTTTGGATTTCACATGGCACGCTTTGATTTGGAAGAAAAAAATCACTTTCGATACCAGAAGCAACAACAAAATACACGCAAATGTTACTTTAGGTCTAATGCTAGTACATACCTGTTTGATATGCCATGGTATGTACCAATTTCTTTTGTTTTTGGTAAAGCAGGAAAAAAATAAAAGCGTATTATACGTCCCAAAAAATTAGTTTCAATATATATTTTTTTATTTTTTTTTCAATTATGTTTTGTTAATTTTTTTTAATTGATACTAAAAAATACATGATACATTTGGAGTTTTTCTGACATTTTTTTGAGATATTATTGGGGCGTATTCTTTTATTCCTACGAATCGAAAATTATGAAATGTTCCTATAATTTTCTATACAAAAATTTTAAATTTTCGATTCATACGAAAACCAGAATACGCCTCATTTATTTGAGAAAAAAGTACTTCTTAATTGTATTTATTTTTAGTTGGGAATCAAAGAAGAGCGATACGGATAATTAAAGTGAAAGTACATACCATCCATTGCGTCGCCGTCACCGTCACCATCACCGTCAACATTGCGTCCGAAAAACCATAAACTCGCTGCTTATCTTTGCAAAATTTGCTTTATACTTTTGCACTTCTTCTATTAGGTTTTCCTCCATCATCTTTTAAATTTCATTTATCCATAACTCCAAAAATTTTCACAAATTGTAAAAATTTAATTCCAAACATAATATAATCGCAATAAATGGTGATTCAAAAATCGCTTGCCTCAAAGTAGACAGCAAGTCCACTTTTGCATGCGATTATCGCCTGTCAAAAATCGCCTCATGTAAAGGCAGCTTCATGTACATGTACCTAACTTACTACATACAAATAAACCCATTCAACTTGTTTTGACAACTGCCGGTGACGGTGACGGCCACGCAATGCACGTTGTGTACTTTCACTTTTAATCACATTAATGTAAGTTCAATTGAATCTCTTTTTCATACAAACAAACTTTTAAATTTTCAGTAAAGAAAATTGTTGAAAATTCGAAAAAATTCGATTCAAAAGCAACATTCGAAATTCGGAAAAAATCGGATTTCAAACCCCACTACCCATTCCGCGATAAACCTTTTGGGTATTTTAAATTGACTTGATATGTTTTTTCATTGTCGAACGAACTTTTCTCCGGACACTCATTATTATATTTTCATGAGTATTTTAATGTCCATGTTATTATAAAGTTCATACAGTTCACCATACCATCTTATTTTTTACTCATCGCCAAGTGCTATACATTTTTGCGAAGAATAATTACCTTAAATGGCCTCTTTACGTTTTAATTTTGTTGATGAAGTATTTCAGTCATGGACTTAACCAAAGCTAGCTATACATATGCATTATTCTGGGCATTTATATCAGCTTCTAGATCCGAAGAAGACCTGAGTCTAATAGCAGTTCATGCTGTCACAATTCTGTCTACAATATCCGCAGGCGCCGTGATCAACAGGACGTTAAGCGCCAGTGTAGTAGCGGGGTTCCTACTGCTCCACTAAACGCTCCAGTTGTGTTACAAGTGTAGCCTTAACCACTTTACCAATGTGTGCAGGGCGGTATCCACCGACCTTTCGCGTTTCCTATGTACAGGTCTATCAGTTTTTAGCAAAAACGAAGACAGACTGATAATCCTATTATCCCTAGGGAACGTGAGAGCCTTTTCCGGCGTTTGGGATGAACGCAAAACTGACTACCCTACAAGCCTTGAGAATGTACCCCGTCCTCGCGCAGTTCGCATAAATAGGAGCCAACCAATTGTACGACACCTAAAGAGCCCTTGCAGCTAGACAGGTAAGATCGCATCGGTCCCCGGTGACTTGAAGGGTTTGCACGAATTTATTGCCCAGGCCAAGTGACGATCGGTCAGAAGTACCGGACCTGAAGAACAAAATAGTGCAAAGAAGTACAATTGACTGTGCTTCGAAGTACGAAGTACAAGAGCTAAAAAATAATACTGTAAGTACTACCGAAACAAGTATGGTTGGTCACATTAGCTATACTGTACTACCGAAAGAAGTACGGTTGGTCACATTAGTTATACATAGATAACGGCTCTATCTAAATCTTTTGCATCCTATGAGTTTTTGTTTGAATTCATATTGAAGAAATTTCATACATGGAAACTTTCAGAACAGATGAGAGGTTGTTGATTGGTAAAGTCCCGTTAACAAAAAACTTAAAAAAAAGTAAGTGCGCCTGGGCCACACTGGAGCAGGGAAAATTACGTTACATATCTAGTTTGTCTTATATCCAGTATGCATATGCAGATTAGGGTGGTCCAAAATAATAAAGCCGGAATTTTAATGCTCCTACCCACTAGGAAAAATGGAAAAAGTAACAAAGTCTAACCAGTAGAAATTATAGCAGATATTTCGCAGATCACCACATCTCCTCATCAGACTTCTTTTTTCTAGACGTCAGCAGAGATCGAACCCGCATCATCGATGTGCAAAGGCGGGAGCGTTAACACTGAGACACTACCTTTCCGATGCAAAAAGAATTATCAAAATCGGTTGACGTGGTCCAAAATTATGCGGTAACATACATAAAAAAAATATTCCGACGAACTGATAATCTCCTCCTTTTTTGGAACCATATCCAGCTACCGACATGCATTTCGACCCGCTGAATCCGAATCTGGGGCCCGTTTGAATTGTACACCCTCAATATTTCGAAAAAAATTGCAAAAAATTAAAATCTTGAGTGTGTACGAGTCAAACGGACCTCAGATTCGAAATCCGCGGGTCATTGGTGGTGGTTCTGGTTAAAAGCACATACCACTTTTTTTCTGTGCCGGTGTTGAGTAAAAACTTGTGAAGTGGGCCACCATTTTTTCGAAGGTCCAACTTTTTTTGTGCAATTATTTGTTTATGCTTCACAACGATAAAAGAAAAATACAAAATTTCACAATTTTTCGAAATTCGAATTATTTTGGAAGTTAAAGCTATTAACATTTTTCGAAATTGTTTTGATTTTAATTGTTTCCCCACGATTGGTATACCGATTCTGCTCATATTTTAAACAGTTGGGAATGGTGGTATTTTCTTCCTATTTTTATTTTTTATTTGGCCATAAATTTTTTATAAAAGTTATTGATATTTTTCTAAATATCACTGACATTTCAATGGCCTTAATATTGCGTTTTGGGCTAATATGTTGTATTGTATTAGTAAATAACAGTATCGATTGTTTTATATCGATAACAATCCCGATAAAAGTATCAATATAAATATCGCTTATTATATTGAAAAAATATCCATTAATAGTTATATCGATAATAGAATTGATTATTATGTAGATAACAATATCGATAAGTGTATCGAAAACAACATCGATAACATCGATTTAGTCCCGAGAATTCCGAAATGTGTAGGCTTGAAAATCCTGATCTAGTCCCGAGAATCCCGAAAATCTCTAAGGTCCCGAAATACAGTTACTAAAACCAATGACCACGTGTTGATTTTCTTCAAATATTTGTAATGTTTTTCGAGCTAAATGTTTTTTGTTATTTTTATATAAAAATATCGTCTCTGCTTTAATCAAAACCGTGTAAATTCGAGTTTCCATATTTATACAAAATTTAGGAAAATTCAACAAATTTTCATCAAATCTTAAACTTTTTATTCTGAATTTTTAAGTTAAGGAAAATTAAGGCACCTTTCTTTTGGTGTGCATTCCTTGTACCTCGCGTTTCTAATTTCTGATAAAAATTGGTTTTTATAAAAAATATATGAAAAAATTCCATTTAAACTGCTTTTTCTTCAAAACTAGCCTTATCACGATACTGTTGTCGTACTTTTGGTATAAAGAAAATTTATTTCCCTTTCATTTGATATGCGCAAGTCTATACCCAAGTTCTCGGTGCTAATAAATTTTATATAAAATTTGTTTCATAAACTTTTCAATGCTCTTCCGACTATGCCATTCACACTATTTCTGCGCAGAGGGTGTATAACATAATCCAGGCAATAAAACATGAGCCATAAATTGCTGACCGCCTTTTGCAGAGAACTTAGGGAGTTGAACTCTCCTTTCTGTGTTTGGCAAAGAAGAGGGACTGAACACCTTTTGCAGAAAACACCTTTCTGCGTAAATAGGTGGCCTGCGGCCGCGCTTAGGGATTACATATAACCCTCATTAAGTACAATTCTCCTTTCTGTGTTGCCGAAGAAGAGGGGCTGAACACCGTTTGCACAGAACACCTTTCTGCATAGTAGTCATATGATACAGCAAACAAAAGAAAATGCAATAAAAATTTCAGAAAATATATTTATGGTCTATGTTAATAAGGCGTTTTCTTTTGCAAAAAATCCATAAAAACAATTTTTTTTGCGTATATTTTTATTTTGCCTCTTTTTTTCACAAATATCTTCAACAAATTCACAAAATATGTATATCAAACGAAAGATGTTTAAAATACCTTTCGAACGTGGTGCCTTATTTTTTAAACGGTTAATTGGTTTCGAAGATATTAACAGTTTTTAACATCAACTTCTTCCACAATTTTTATTTCTGCAATATAAAATTTGTATATGTGTGCTTAGCATTTAAAACTGTATTAAACCCCGTTCCTCATTTTTCTTCTCTAACGAAACTGTGCGTATTCTTTACTTATGCCGTAGTTTTACTTCAAAAAGAAATTATGCTTATAACGAAGTTTTTTCAAAATTCAACACTTTCCATTGTATCAAGGTATTCATATTTTACAAATATAATGAAACTATCGATACAACTAAAGATTTGTCCAGCCTCTTTAACTTCGATATACATATGTATGTATGTACATACATATAAAGGTTTCACTATACATACATACTTACAATTGTTATATGCTTTTATGTATGAGTAAATACCTGCAAAATACCAGCCAGCTGACTTATTGTAGAACATGAAGTACGCGTCGACGACCACTCGCACATAAATCATCAAAAGCACGGCAATGATAGACATACCAAAAGCATTTCGAAAATAGTCGAGCATCTCATGAATTCGTTGAAAAACCAACTGTTTCTCGGCCAACTTCCGCCGCACAAAGTCTTCAAATCCGGCGAAAGGCACCACGCGACGAGCAAAATTTGTATACTCTGCCAGTAGGCCAACGTCGTTGCGCAGTTTCTCAAGTTCGTGTCGTATAATTTCGATATGAAATACAATTTGCATATTTCGCAAATGCACCAAATAAACGAACGGTGTGAACATAAACCAAAACTGCTGTGCCTGATCGGTTAATGGTTGCAATGAGAAGAAGACTACCTCGATGAGCAAATCTAATACCGTAATGCCATATAAAATGTAAAGAAAGTGACGATGTGTGCTTAACTGCACACGCCAATTACTTTCATTCGAGAGAAATTGTTCGGATTTAACTTGAGTTAGCAATGCATATCGTTGCCAAAAATGGCGCAAAGCACATCGGCACCATACTGTCTCCGTGTAAATGATTAAAATTGTCACTTGCGCCATGCACACCTTCAGAACATCGTTGAAGTAACCGAAGCGGTTTGTGGTGAAAAGAAAAGCATCTGGCCGAAAGAAGGTATTCACTGTAGTCAAGGAAAATATTAACAATAGTAAATTTGTCCAGGATACAAGACGCTGCTCGGCGATCTTTTGCAACCTAGGCTGCGTTTGCAGCGAAGCATCAAAGCAACCGATTATCTGAAAGAAGCGTATATGGAAATGCACTACACCGGGAACTTGAATAGTCATTGTGACGCTTCAAATTGCAACTGAACCGCGAAGAAGTATGCATGCATAAGGTTTAATATTTGCAATGTCATTGAAAGAATGTCAAAGAATGATAAGTTGTTGGTTTAAATTAATGAAGGGAAGTGTTTTGAGCAGATTCTTTCAATTGATAACTTATAATAAATGTGTAACGAGCTACTTCATATTCGAAGCAATTAAATATGGATATATGCAAATATGTCCCTACACTGAGGGAAATAATGCATAGTAAAAATGAATACTTTATATTTGATTATCGTTTAAAAAGGTTCGAATTTACAAATAATTAGTCTGTTCCAATAGCAGTCCGGTTTACAGGATTTAGTCAGAACTTACAGGAAGTCGTTCCTATTGACATAAAACCTGTAAGTGGGAACACATTTGAGAGAGTAACTGAGCAACTGTTCCTAGTCAGAAGTTACACAAGGCACATAAATACAGGTAGAAGCCAAAATGACGTTGCTCTCATGAGAACCAAACCTTTAAACTTCAACTTGATTTTATTTTATTTCCTATATTTCGTTACGCTTTGAATGTCATATCGTTGTTTTTTTTTTGAATGTTCGTTAATAACAAATTTTAATTTGCATTTGAATTTTTGTAGTGTTGTGCGGTTTATACTTAGTGTATGTGTTAAAAATGCAACACCTGAACCGTTGTGTTTTATGTGGTGTTAAATATAAGGCAGATACCACTAATTTTTTAACGTGCCTCAATGTCCTTCGCGTAAGGAACGTTGCGAAAGCAGCTGTGGGCAGAGCTGCAGTGAAATGCCTTGCTGTGCGTTAAACATTTTAAAGAAGTAGATTCCACAAATACACCGGGAGGTATAGGAAAGGCACGTTTGAAGCCAAGTGCTGTTCCTATGACCCTTATGCCGAAAAGTCCCTCCAACAACACTGCAACTCATAAAACAAAAACAGAAAACAACATACACGTTTTTTCAAATTTTAACTAAAGAAAATAAATAAATAAGAATAAACTTCAAATATACTTAAAAACGTCAACCAGTGAAATGTATTTTTTTATTTTTCCTTACACACGCTCATTTTTATTTTTACTCTCCCGAAAACTTTGACTTTTGTAGGTTTGATGTCAATTTGGCTTCTACCTGTTTTTATTGTACCATGGAAGTTACAGGATTTAGTCCGGAGTTTTGTTTCCTGTAAGTTCATGAAAAGTGTCAAACGATCAGCTGATTTACATGTGCAAACAAAAACAGAAAGCGGTGAAAGCAAAGAACCTTATATTTGTTAAAAAATGGAAGTAAACAACGAAATATTTGAATATGTATAGATTTTAATAATTATTTGGTGATATTTCAGCCAAATCAGTGTAGTACCAATGACATGTAAAGAAACCGTCTGACGTTTTTACAGGAAATAGTGCTTTTTGCGTTCCTATGCACTTCTGCATCTGTTCTCCTTTCACTCTCATTTGAGAGCGTAAAATTGTAGTTTGACAGTTCCACAGGTTTTAGTCCGAAGTTCAAAGGAACAGACTAAATATTTTCATACAAAATTTATTACGCACGTATGTATTTGACTGTTCACATCTGAGTATATATGAGTGTATGTACATACGCACCCCAAGCATGCAAAGCGCTGCTGTGAGAGCGGTGACAACACACACATTCATACATAGTACATGCCCTGTAAGATCTCGGAATAGACTTAGAGCACACCACAAACTAGACTGCAAGTGATTTGTAACTAGTCCAAAGTTTGGTCCAACAACATGTAAAATTCTATTTACATTTAACATTGAATGCATTACATTGTAGCCAGCTGCGATTCGAACCGGGGTTCTCAGATTTTTTAAGCGGATACTCTCTCTACACGCCAACGCCGCACATGAAAATTCGTTGACTAAGTGCCTACATATCAGCAAATCGTTAATCATACCCATTGTCCGCTACTGCATGACATTGTAACCAATTTTAGAACAAAACTCGTACCTTATGCATTACATTCGGACCCCTTTTAGTACAATTCACCTGTTTTACATTACATTGCTTTAAATTTTTGGACTATCTTTGGTCTAGTTACAAAACTACTATACCTACGGCTATATTTTTCGAGCAATTGGACCAATCTTTCCTTCCGTACAAATCGTATGCTGTGGTGTTGATGGATATTCAACATTTGAAAGCAAATTTATATGCCTGGGTGTAGCTGAGTGCGCAAAGATGCATGCCACAATTTGTTGATATCCAGAGATGGTCAGGGTTCATTCCACCGCAGGCAACATGCAAGTTAAATATTTTTTTTTTTAGGTTTTGTCTTGATTATTCACTTCACGGATGCTTTTTCAGAACTGAACGCGGTCATTTTAATATGCGCGTAATTGAATTGAATATTTACCAATATACAGTACATTCGTTGACGTTTATAGTAAGATCAATTACGTTTCTATCTGATTTTAATATTTTTTCCCCCCAGTGTACTTATACTCGTACATATGTATGTATGCTCTTATGTACTAGCTTATACCCGCGGGTTTCACCCCACATTTTTAGCATAGTACTTAACTAAAATTAAGTTAAATAGGTTATAAAACTTTATTATTGCTCTCAGTTGTTGTACCTATATCAAGCCCTAACCGCCAAAATAACGTAAGCGACATTTTTTTCAAAATTTTTATTTTGATGCAGAAATGCATCTAGATGCTCTAGGAATATTTCCGCATCAAAAGAATATCGCTTATATTCTTTTGGCGGTTAGGGCTCGGATATTTATAAGCGAGTTTAGGTACATAAGGCGTTTAAAGTCATGGAAATATAATATCTCGCCGGCATGGTAGAATTTGTTATGGTCATATGATAGATACCAATCCCTCTAAGTTTAGCTTAAAATGCTTCCAAGGACACGACGCGTGAATATGTAATATTTCGGGATGCGTCACGTGTGATTTTTTTTTTTAATTTCCAACGCTACATAGGTATACGTCATGACAATTATAGCTTATATGGGAGGTACCACGTACCCATTTCCATAAAGTGGCTATTTTCTCCATCAGTATGGTATTAATAACATAACTCTTCACACATAATTTTAGTACCCTACCTAAAATACTTCCAAAGAAATCCTGTAAAACAAGTAAAAAAAAGTTTGTATGGAAAGTGCCACGCCCCCCCTTTTCTAATGACCTTAATTTTTCCATGAGTATGGATGAATTTCATATATCTTCATACCAAGTTCCAGTACAATGGGGTGTAGTCGTTGAGCTGGGTATGCAGTTACATTTGCATGGCTTTACTCAATCCCGACGAAACGTCCGACAACGGATTGAGCCTGATCGACTTCGCCGGGGCCCGAAACATGGTAGTATGCAGTACTAGGTTCAAGCATAAAAAGATCCATCAAGCTACGTGGCTGTCTCCGGATCGAAAAACGAGAAACCAAATCGATCATGTTGTGATAGACGGAAGGCACGCTTCCAATGTTCTAGACGTACGCACACTCTGGGGCCCAAACATCGACTCGGACCACTATCTTGTTGCAGCCAAGATACGCACCCGCCTCTGTGCAGCAAAAAATGTGCGCCCAAATATGCAAGGAAAGCTTAACGTCGAAAAGCTGCAATCACAACAGACAGCCAGCGCTTTCGCTACTCGACTCTCACACCTGCTCTCAGAGAGCACTCTTCAACAAACCGACATATGCGAGCAGTGGAACCACATTTCCCGCTCATTAAGTACCGCCGCCGAAGAAGTAGTCGGATTTCAGCGAGCCCGAAAGAACAACTGGTATGATGAGGAGTGTAAGGAAGCTACAGAGAAAAAAGATGCCGCCTACAGGGCCACGCTGCGATCGGGCGCAACGCGAGCTATGTGGGACCGCTATAGGGATCTGAAGAGGGAAGCGAGACGTATTTGCCGCAACAAGAAGAGAGAGGCAGAAATACGAGAGTGCGAAGAGCTTGAAATGCTGGCCGACAGGAAGAATGCCCGAAAATTGTACTAGAGAGTTAGGCGACTTACGGAAGGTTTGAAGACCGGGGCGCACTCCTGTAAGAACAATAATGGCGACCTAGTAACTGATGTCCAGAGCGTACTTAAATTATGGAGGGAACACTTTTCCGCCCTACTAAATGGTAGCAGCACGGAGAGTTGTGGAGAAGAATAATCCGAGCCCGCAGTCGATGATGACGGAGTCGACGTTCCACCGCCTGACTATGACGAGGTACGTATAGCAATAACGCGGCTGAAAAACAACAAAGCCGCTGGAGCTGACAGCCTGCCAGCTGAGCTATTCAAGTACGGCGGCGAGGAGTTGATAAGGTGCATGCATCAACTCTTGTGCAGAATATGGTCAGATGAACGCATGCCCGACGACTGGAATTTAAGTGTGCTCTGCCCAATCCACAAGAAAGGTGACCCCGCCATTCGCGCCAACTACCGCGGGATCAGCCTTCTAAGCATAGGTTACAAGGTCTTATCGAGCGTATTGTGAGAAAGACTGAAGCCCACTGTCAATGAATTTATTGGGCCTTATCAGTGTGGCTTTAGACCTGGCAAATCCACCATAGACCAGGTATTCACAATACGCCAAATCTTGGAAAAGACCCGCGAGAAAAGGATCGACACTCACCACCTATTCGTCGACTTTAAAGCCGTGGGGACCGCTATAGGGATCTGAAGAGGGAATCGAGACGTATTTGCCGCAATAAGAAGAGAGGCCGAAATACGTGAGTGCGAAGAGCTTGGAATGCTGGCCGACAGGAAGAATGCCCGAAAATTTTACCAGAGAGTTAGGCGACTTACGGAAGGTAAGTCCACTGAAAAGTTAGTTGCAGTTATTTTTTACAGGCATCCCATTGGCAGAGGGCTTCGGGTGTACGAATTTGTTGTAACATCAGGAGTTAAAGACTTGCTCCAGCTGCTAGTCTTTTAAAATTTCCTCTAATGACGTCGTAAGAAGATTTACCATGTGAACTTGCAACAAAGTTCAATTCTGCCATTTCCTTGAAGCGATTTTCAT